AGATATGCAAGTGAAAAGTAACAAGTTGTCAGAAGAAGCATCCAAGATAGGACTTCAGGTGAACATGGAGAAGACAGAGGTGATGAAGATCCCTGGCCAACAGCAACAACAACAGACAAAAATCAGCATAAATGGGAGGAATCTGAAAGAAGCAACCTCCTTCACCTACCGACCTACTGGGAAGCATCGTCGTTTCAACTACAGGTGGACGGAACTGACGAGGATATGAAAGCGAGGGTCGGGAAAGCAAGACAAGCTTTCATTACTCTCAAGTCTGTGTGAAGTTCAACAGAACTCAGCATGAGAAATAAGATCCGGGTTTTCACCTCCCATGTGAAGTCAGTCAGTGCTACTATACGGATCAGAGACTTGGCGCCGCGTCACGAAGGCCACTCCGAACAAACTACAGACCTTCATCAACAGCTGTCTTCGTTCAATACTACTCATGATCAGATAGCCGGCCAGAGAAGATCAGCAACAGGGATCTCTGGCAATGAACGAACCAACCCAGCAGGAACCAACTCTGAGAAAACCACCAAGTGACATCACACGCCAGGCCATTGCTCTAGTGGAACCCGAATGGAAAGCGGTAAGTTGGTGGTCAGTATCAGGGTGACATGGAGGAGGTGATACAAAGAGGAGATGAAAGCATGTAGGCAGACGTGCAGACAGGTGGAAACTTTGGCAGAGAACCGAACGCAATGGAGATGTGTGGCTGAAGCCCTATGTTCCTTTAGGAACTAAAGGAAACAATAATAATATAATAACAGTTAAAATAATGAAAGCACAGAAACTAAAAGTTAGTGGAATACAGTGAATAATAAATAAATAATATAATATAATAAATAATGAATGTAATAATAATTCTGGTTATAATTTGCAGTTAAGTTACTGATTTAAATAGTTTATAAGCCCTTTTCTGAAATTCGTCTGTTCACTTGAAGCCCGCACCAAGTATGGTACAGTAGAATTTCTATATTTAGCCCCACACGAGCATAAATTCTTACGAAGCTGCTTTACTGGTCTTACCTAATGAGAGGTGCAAGGGGAAAGCTGCGAATACAGAGGATATTCGTGTATCAGAGAAGATAACTTTAGCCAACTGCTTTCAAGAATTAAAATACCTGTTGAATAATAGTGACAGTTAATTGAGACAAAGGCACACCACTAGCTCTACCCACAGTCTTCTCTGTTCCACACATTAAGACATGGTCATTTTGGGAAGTCAGGAGAAGAACAGGGGGATGACGATAAAGAAGAACGAGTAGAACACATGAATTAATAAATTTTTCAAGTATCGGTTTGTTTTTAGTGATTTTGTTTGATTGCTTGGAGGATTTCATCATGAGCTGACATCAGTTAGAGAACCATTGAAAAACCGGTACTGGAGTACTAAATATTAGTTGTTTCGTCAGCCTAGTTTGGGACCCTTCACAGTACGCACCCACCATAGGGGGTTCGAACCCAGGACCTTCTGGTTAGAAGGCGAGCTAGCTCGTAGACCCTTCAGCCACTGGGACCCGATCCATTGGCCCATGAGTTCTAACTTCTGCCAACTCATGACATATCGTGACTACTTCGCAATGTCTTCTTCTTTGATGAGTTACTGCCTCACCTTCGACCTGCTGTACCCTACTGGTCACGGCTTCCCACTAGAATCCCAGGGCACTGACTGAATAGGGCCAGTCACTAGTGAGCATCAGATGAAACAGCTGTCCAGTACTCCCAGGTTTCCCAATGGTTCTCTAACTGATGTCAGCTCATGATGAAATCCTCCAACCAATTAATAAATTGCAAAAGGAGAAGTTGGTTGAGTTATACCATAAAGTCTGAGATTCTTTATGTAATAAGTCAAACGAAATATTTTCTTGGTCGTCTCGACCAATGTAGTCATTCGAGGAGAAATTGATACCAAGATAGGCTATATTCTGTTTACTCGCCATCACAGTGTCGTCGACACTACAAAAATCATGAGATTGGATCAGTCTACGGAAGATTTATTCACGTCTGAAACTGAAATCAACAGTATGACATTTAGAGAGATTTAGTTGAAGACCATTTCAGTGAGGTAGTTGATTGAGCCAAGATAAAAAAACTATTAATATCAAAACAATCGAATGCCGAACCGATTGGCAGACAGAAATTGTCAGATTATCAAATCATCAGCATGCTTAAATGAAATTACCTTTAGAAGAATAAAGTAGGTTCATGTAAAAAGAAAGAAAAAAGGAATGGAGAAAGTACAGCATTATTGATATAAGTATGAAACTTGGACACTGTGGTGGTAGAGTATAACTCCATTATAGATAAGATTTTATTTTGATAAGTCACACAGTGTTACACAGTAATATTAACTGATGACCAAGTTTCGAGCACAAATTATTCTGCTCATAATCATATCAAGCTACTCATACAACTTTGAGTGTGTAACACTGTGTGACTTATCAGAATAAAATCTTATCTATAATGGAGAAAGTACAGAACCTTGAGGCACAGTACGCCAGCTTCCGTAAGCAACAAAGAAGTCAATCGTTTTCTATTTAAGACAGTTGGTTGTTTCCTAACTGAAAAAGTAGAAAGACAGGAAGCCATTTGTGATCCAGGACTCAGTGCGTGCTAAAATCAGCTTGCTCAGTAAAGTTATTATCATTATTAGTGTTTCTTTTAGTTCCTAGAGGAACATAGGACTTCAGCCACACGTCTCCATTGTGTTCAGTACTCCGCCAACGTTTTCACCTAGCTCCATGTCTGCCCACATGCTTTTATCTCCTCTTCACATGACCTCCTCCATATCACCCTTGGATAACCAACTCACGGCTTCCCGTTTGGGTTCCACTCGAGCAATGGCTTGATGCGTGGTGTCACTCATCTGATGGTTTTTTCTCAGAGTATGGCCAATCCACCTCCATTTCTTCCTGCATATTTGTTGCACAATTGGTTCCTGTTAGGTTGGTTCGCTCACTACCAGAGATCCCTGTTGCCGATGTTTTCTGGCCATTTCATTTTGAGTATTGAGCGAAGACAGCTAGATGTTGATGAAGGTCTGTAGTTTGTTTGAGGTGCCCTTTGTGACGCCGCGCCAAGTCTCTGATCCGTATAGTAGCACTGACTTTGCGTTGAAGTTGACAATCCGAATCTTGTTTCTCATGCTGAGTTCTGTTGATCTTCAAAGCTTGCCTTGCTTTCCCGATCCTCGTCACTTCGTCCGCCTGTAGTTGAAATGATGCTTCCTAGGTAGGTAGAGAAGGTTGCTTCTTTCAGATTCCTCCCATATATGCTGATTGAACTGACGAGGATATCAAAGCAAGGATCGGAAAAGCAAGACAAGCTTTCACTACTCTCAAGTCTGTGTGGAGGTCAACAACACTCAGTATCAAAAATAAGATCCGGATTTTAAACTCCAATGTGAAGTCAGTCAGTGGTACTATACGGATCAGAGACTTGCACTGCGCGTCATAAAGAGCATCTCAAACTAACTACAGACCTTCATTAACAGTTGTCTTCGCTCATTACTCAAGATCAAATGGCCAGAAAAGATCAACAACAGGGATCTCTGGTAGTGGGCGAACCAACACAGCAGGAACCGATTGTGAAGCAAATAGGCAGGAAGAAATGGAGATGGATTCGCTGGCCATACTCTGAGGAAACCATCAAGTGACATCACTAGACAAGCCATTGCTCGAGTGGAACCCAGCCGAAAGGGAAGCGGTGAGTTGGTCGTGAGTGCAAGGATGACTTGGAGGAGGTCATGTGAAGAGGAGATGAAAACGTGTGGGCAGACTTGGAGCCAGATGAAGACTCTAGCAGAGAACAGAACGCAATGGAGACTTGCAGCTGAAGCCCTATGTTCCTGTAGGAATTAAAGGATACAATAATAATAATAATGCTGATTGATGTCTGTTGTTGTTGCTGTTGCTGTTGGCCAGGGATCTTCATCACCTCTGTCTTCTCCATGTTCACCTGAAGTCCTATCTTGGATGCTTCTTCTGACAACTTGTTGCTTAGTGAAATAACAATAATAAAAAATCTACCAAAAATTTACAGATATGTAAATATCTATTATCATTATTATTACTTTTATTATTATTATTATTATTATTATTATTATTATCAGACGTCTAGATCGTCTTCAAAAATCCGCCTTTCTTATTGGCTAATTGTCAAATAGGAACAGAATACCTTCACTATGGAATACAAAACTAAAAGTTGCCAAAATAAAGGGAACAGAGGGTGGAGAGAGAGAGAGAGACAAAGAGGCGATGGAAATGGAACCACACACACACACACTTACAACAGAGAGTGGATGAATGAGGTTGGTGAAAAACTAGGTGGAAAGCAAGATGCTAGAAAATCAGAAGAGAGAGAGAGAATAAAAATAACAAATAAAAAAATGAAATTATTTATTTTCATATGAACAACACTTAAAAAAACTGATATTTTATGATTTTCTGTGTTGGTGTGTGTATGCGTTTGTGCGTGCATAAGTGAGTTTAATTAATATAATTAACGAATAATGTAGATGAATACATACATAAACACACCTACGCACACACGAAAGGGGGGGGGATAGAGAAACGCAGAAGAAATACACACACACAAGCATACACACTTGAAGTATATATCTGTCTGTCTATCGACCTGTGTGAATGTATTTACGTGTGTGTATGGCATGTGTGCGTACGTGCATGTGCGTAGCATTCATTTGATCAAATTTCTGGTTTTCTACCTTAAAAAATAATATTTTTTCAAACAAATTTTATTACTATATGAAGAAGAAGGTTGGAATAATCACACAAGAGATTGAAAGGAACTCTTTCAAGAAATATCTTCTGGTTGTGACTGAAAAGGAGAAATGTTGAATGCTGATGAGGTGAATTGTGCTCCAACAACCACCACAGAGACCAATACTACTATGACTACTATTGCCACTAATATTAATACAACTAATAATAATAATAATGATAATAATAATCATAATAATAACAGTGACGACATGACTCATTCGATAACTCAACGAAGCAATGATGAATCACCACTCTGTCCTGGAGCTATCATCATCGAAAATAATCACGACGGTGAAACTATCCTTCGACCTGGTCGTAAAAGGAATTTACCAATGAATGCCAGTGATCCAGATCAATGGAAAGAAGATCCTGTCATTGGGAATCCCAATGAAAATGTTGACAATGACACAAATGGCATACGATCACAGTGTATGAGTTATATGACACAGAGACAATTCTACGGGGAACAGACACTAACTCAACATCAGTCTGTTCTACATCGAAGTTTGGCGGAATGTTTGAAACGTTTGTGTAAACAGATGGAAAGAGATTGTATGCCGAATACTTCTAGTGTTATTATGCCTTCTCAAGCACTGGACTTGAGTATGTCATCAACAATGAAGTCAACGGATAATCTTCCTATGAATCAGATGCTGGAGGCAAGCGGAATGCCACTGAAGAACTTATCACCATCATCATCCTCAAGCACAACATCTTTATCTTCGACTTCTCCGTTAACATCTATAGGTTCAAATAACATTTCACAGACTTGTGTCAATATCAATGATAGTTTGGGACAAAATATACCATTATGTCATCAATTTGAACATATTCGTTCAGATAATATTGGAACTATTCTACCTTGTGTTACAAGTAAAACTGATACATTGCAAAATTTGCCATTGATTATGTCACAAATGAATTCAAGCTCAGCGTCATTGAAGCATATACAATCTCATGACAATTTAACAAGTAAGTTCTATTGAGACATGGTTGTTTTTTTATTACAAACGTTTTTCTAAATATTCCCCTTTTCATTGATTATATTGAACTAGAATGTGAGCTGTCTGTTGACGTGTAAGTCAGAAGTACAGACGCTTTAGCGATGTCTAAAAATGGAAATCATATTCCTTGATTGATAGTAGCTGATCGATTGACCGACTGAAGTGAGCTGAAGTGCAGCAGCAGTTGGAGTTGTAGCACTCTGTGTAGTACACAAAGATGGAGAAAAGAAAGGAACGATTTCGAGCCATATCACCAGTTGTCTTCAGCTGCTATCGGTTCTTAAGATCCCGAGGACCTCAATGAGGCAGTCTACACCTTCGTATGTGGCTGGCTGAAACCAGCAGTCATAGAATTCATGGTTTGGTTTGTTTCACCTCTAACGCTTTCTCAACCTGATCATATCTCCGCTAACAGTGCCAGTCGTGCGTCAGTACTGCAAGCGAATATTTCAGGAAATACGACAGAAACGCATTCCAGTGGTTACCAACAAGATCTTATGGCCTGATAGCCTAGTGCATAACGCTTGGACGTCCACAGCAATGCATGATGGGTTCGAGTTGCAGTAGGGACACAACCACTAGCTGACGAGTCCTAAATGGGATGAAATGCCTCCCTTAATTTCTGTGAATATGCCTAATTTACACTTCATACTTCCCGTCCACTATGAGTACTGCTCTACAAACATCGTTATGTATTCGCTTTGCTGAACACTGCCTCAAATAGCTTTCTAGTGCTCATGATATCATCTCTAGAAGCTCATTTGCATGACATTTACTGGACACTGATCATACCAGTGACGTTAAGTAAAAACTTTATAGTTGATTGATAAGCCACGTAGTAATAAAAAAGCTCTTAATCTTTGTGAAGCCTGAGCAATCAGATTAAAGAAGCTTGATCTCTGTATACAAAAGGGGATAGCAGCAACTAGCTTGAATCTACCTTGGTAGCATATACTTATTTTACCTTTGCGTCGGTGGCACATCGGTTAGGACTCTCGCCGACCATGCACATGGTTCAGGGTTCGATCCCCTGCCGACACACTCCTGATATCTATGGTCGGCCTGCAAAATTTAGGCTACCGATATCACATGTTGAAAATTCTATACCTGTACCAAAAAATACGGTGTTGAATCAAGCTGTAATAAAAAAAAATTGTCTTTCCATTACCACTTCCCTTTACAATGGTTTTCCATTATTATTATTAACTTTTTTTTGACATACTGTTAGCTTTCCTAGGATGTGTGCAGATAGAAAATGATAACTGAGTATTCCTCTTGGTGAGGAGTGTTCACACTATCTTATTAATTACTTTAGATCAGACAAGTTAAAGTCGTGCTAATTAATCCTTTATTTATTTTTTTTTTTCCCATACGTTCCCCAGTGGAACATAGGGCTTCAAGCTAGTGGCTTGAAGTTTCTGTAGCAGTATTTATTTTTACAGGGTGGGGTTGCTAGCCTCATACCCAACCTTTCCTCTTCACCAGCATTATTTCTGACTTAGCGAGGTAAAGGAGTGCGTCGGCCAGGGATCGAACCCCGGACCATATGCATGGTCGAAATATATTAAATTTATTTTCAAGTATTCGTTTGTAGAGATTTTGTTTGACTGGCTGGAGGATTTCATCATGAGCTGACAGCGGTTAGAGAACCATTGGGAAGCTGTGACCAGTAGGGTACAGCAGATTGAAGGTGAGGCAGTAACTCATCGAAGAAAAAGACATTGCGAAGTGGTTGCGATATGTCATGAATTGGCAGAAGTTAGAATTCATGGGCTGGGCACTGAATCAGGTACCAATGGCCAGAAGGTTCTGGGTTCGAACCCCTGGGGTGGGTGCGTACTGATGAAGAGTCCCGAACTTCGATGAAACAGATGGCTTTCCAGTACTCCCAGTTGCTTTTCCAGTAGTTCTCTAACTGATGTCAGCTCATGACGAAATCCTTCAACCAATCAAACAAAATCCCTACAAACCAATTCTTGAAAACAAGAATGTGTTGTTAAATGGTGGCCTCCCACTCTGATTACAACCTACATTCAATGACTTTTGTCCATGGCTATCCTCCTCAGTTATAAGACCCCAATCCCGACTGTTTTGTTTTCACTGTTTTCAGTTTTTTCAATGTAATCACATAGTTTTGGATATTGATCAATGCATAAGAGGAGTTGAATAAGCATAATAAGTGTTACGTAATATGGTGAATAATCTAATGAATGAGTTGTAATCATGAGGCACATAGAAACAAAGAGAAATGTGATGTTGCGTAAAAGTTATAAAGAGTTAAAAAGCAAACAAACAAAAATCAATTTGGTGTAGAAAACAAGAAGGTTGTTACCATGGCAGTACGTAATGCAGAGCCTCCTATTCTTTGTATCCGAATGACTAGAACTTCAACAAGGCAGAAGAAAAAAAAGGCTTATTGCTTTTGACCTGAAGGTTTTTCATCCTCTTGTAGATAAATGTGAAGGAGCCTCCTGGTCAGATAGAATGATTCTAATCACAACTCACTCATTAAACTATTCGTCTTATTACGTAATTGCATTACGCTTACTCAGCCTCTTTTATGTGTTGATTAACATTAATAACTTTGTCTTTTTTTGGCAACACATCACCACTACCCTCTTAGCAATCTTCACCCCCACACCCCTAGTTACAATGTGATTACTCATCACATTTTTGAAATGTCATGACACCAATAACCCTAACTTATTTTTTTATTCTAATCGGACAAACCTAATGTACACACATACAAAAAAAGTATACATATGTAATTGCGATTGTACAGTGAATTGAATGAATTCGCCGCCGGAAAGAGACTCTTCGCCGAACTACGTGTTTTGTTTTCATTATTGTCTAGATGGGGGATTATTCATGAATTAATGATGATATATATTTAGAATTAATCGGTTATCTGAGCCAAGTGAAACTGGGTACGTCGTTGATTTGCTTGGCTACAAACGACAGAAACAGCTGTCTAGTGTTCAGATCAATTCGATGTACCTAGCAATGAATACTGGTTGATGCAATTCACATCCAACTACCTTTTGGTATGGTTGTGTTCTCTGAGCTGAATGGTTTCCTATTTTCCCAAGCTTCCATTGTCTTACTAGACAAATATGTGCTGATGATGTTGTCCAGTAAGACGATGGAAGCTTCGCAACTAAACCATCCACAGTTCAAAGAACACAACTATACCAAAATCATTCAACTGAGCTATAAATCTACTTCCTTCCTTGTGTCCAACTATTCAAATCAGCCAGTCAGTAGTATGTACTATCCACTTTTAAGTGGAGATATTAGACGTGAAAATAGTTTTAAGTACACTTTTTAATCTTCTGTTTTAATTACTTGCTTACTAATAAAATGTGTGGATTCGGCTTTAGAAAGTATTTATTCTTATGGGGATATATGCTTAAAAGATAGTAACTGGCATATGCTGAACAGATCTTGTCTTCTATTAGACAGTTCAAGCAAAGTTTGATGTGAATCCTTATTGGCCTTAAATTTTTAAGGAGTCTCTTCATCAGTAGAAACCTATGAAAAACTATTCTTTGTTCCTCGTTATTAATTAAAATGTCTAGATTTTAGTACAGAGAGATGAGTCACCAGTGAACATATTTCCTTTTCAAGTGTTGGTCTGCGGGGGTTTGGCTGATTTCAATTGAAATCACGAATTGATTAATATTAGACAGAGAACCACTGAAGACCAAGGAGTACTGGGCAGCCGTTCCCTTCAGTAACACGCACTTTTCGTTCTACCAGGGGCTTGTATCCAGGACCTACAGGTTACAGGGTCAAACTCGTTGACGATTTATGCTGTAATCCAGTGGCCAGTCAATTTTAACTTCAGATGATCCACAAAGTATAACGCTACTGGCGGCTAGTGCCACCGGCGAGTGTTTATCCTCACACTCAGCTTGGTAGACCTCGGGCGTTAAAATTCGTGGGTCACTGGGATACGTTCCAGTGACTAAATGGTCAAAAAGTTCACATTGTAATCTCAAGATCATGGGTTCGATCTCTTATGAGTAGAGTCATCATTGTGTTGGTTCTCAGTGACTGTCTAACTGCTGTTAGTCAGTTAGCAGTCGATCTTGAAGACATTTCTCTGTTGTCTGAAGTTTGAAGTACCAAATTTCCATTGACAACAGTTCTGTGTTTTCAAGAGTTGATTTTTAAGAATTTGATTTGTTTTTTGGGTTAGACCACAGATTCATATCAGCTAGAGAACCATTGGCAACCAAGGATCATTGGATAGCTGTTTCGTCAGCCTAGTTTGGGAATCATCGTCAGTTAGCACCCACCACCAGCGGTCGAACCCAGTACCTTCCGGTTACAAGGCAAGCTAGTATACCATTCATCCACCGGGACCAGATGCAATGGTCAGCCCAAGAATTCTAACTTCTACCAATTCGTGATTTAGTGCGACGCCCAACCAGTGTCATCGGCGAGAACTCCATTCTCACTCCCGACTAGATGCACCTCACTGGTTACGACTTCTCACTAGAACTCCAGGAAACTCCGTCCTGTAGCAAGTCACTAGCGGTCTAACTCAAAAATCAGGTCGACTCTTGAAAATTAATCTGATGCTCGCTAGTGACTTGATACAGGACGGAGTTTCCTGGAGTTCTAGTGAGAAGTCGTAACCAGTGAGGTGCATCTAGTCGGGAGTGAGGATGGAGTTCTCGCCAATGACACTGGTTGGTCGTCGCGCTAAAAATCACGAATTGGTAGAAGTTAGAATTCATGGGCTGACCATTGAATCGGGTCCCAGTGGCTGAATGGTATACGAGCTTGCCTTGTAACCGGAAGGTCCTGGGTTCGACCCCTGGTTTTGGGTGCGTACTGCTGATGATTCCCAAACTAGGCTGACGAAACAGCTGTCCAGTACTTCAAGTTTGTTTTCAATGGTTCTCTAACTGATATCAGTTCTGTGTTCGTCTGTCCTTTTTTACCTCATTCAAAAACCATTTTTTAAGACAACTTCGAATGTTTCTGGAAATTTTGTGTGATTACCACAAATATTGAAGGTCGTATTTAAAATCATTGCTAATTACTGATTAACTTTAATATAGGTTTTATGAAATGATAACGAATGATATCCATAAAGTTGAATGCAGAGCAGCCCATTCACCATTGATTCTGCATGGCCATTGTGAATTTGTTAAAAAATTGAAAATCATCTCAAAGGGGAACAAAGGAGTCGTTTGACACTCGTCTACTTTGGTGTTAGACAATTAGGTACGATTGTTGGGGGGGGGGGGGCTTCAGACCTAGGTTTCAAGCGCAAAGGTACTTGTCAGCCTTTTACTCAACACTGTTGGTTTGGAACAGCTTGAATAATACATAAATTAACAATAAATGGCTCAAAAACTTCTGGTTCCATCCCAGTCGGTACTGATGGTCCATAAAGATGAACCAGTTGTCTGCATTTCGATAAGTCTGCTTCAGTAGAGTTGAGTAGGTGGACGCAATAGCGTATTCGAAGACATATTAATCTCAAGAACTAGTAAATATCCTCTCCACAACTAGGAAGAGAAAGTTACCAGCATTCTCTGATTTTCAGTGTGATTTCGGCTCGTGAAAAAGTCGTCTTTATGTCAGTCAAATACTCACACAGTAAACAATTGTATATGAGCACAGGTTGTTGAATGGCTGAGTAAAGCACTTATTCTTTGTTGACAGAAAACGAACAGTTCGACTTTTATGACCCTTGAAGTAATCACATCTGTGAGCCCTGTATTTTGTAAACCACGGGTACTCATTCGTGACATGAGAATTACTCAAGCACAACTTAATTTGTACTTTTTCATATGTGTCTTTTAGGTTCAACCCTTTTATTCCCCAGTCTGTCTTCCAATCAGTTCAATTTACCAACCCTAACACCAACAGCTACAACAGCTACATCCAAACCACCATCTTTACCAGAGACGGATATTTTTGCAAAACTCTCTGATGCATTTTATTCCCAACGAAATAGTGGTGGTGGTGGTGCCTATGATCAGTCGTCTCTGATGAACAGCGTGTTGAATCCATCCGATCTGATTTGGAATTATGCAGCTAACTATGCACTACACTGTCCACCGAATAACTTGAACCAGAATTTATTAAACGAAAGCAAGAAAGAGGATACATCCACGTGTACATCTCCTGAGTCAGCATCAAAAGATTTTGATAGTGAAACGTCTTTAAAGCATGGTATGTCAGTTGTCAGAATATATTCTTTTTGTGTGCATTTCTTGCATTCTGAGTAGACACAGGGTATCAAGCTTCAAGCTTTAAGTTAGTGAGTAGCAGTGATATTGATTTTTTGTAGCGTATGGGTTTCCAGCTTAATGCCCGACTTTCCTCTTTTCTCCATGCTTACCACCGGCCAGTGAATTGGGCAGGGTTTAGGAGTACATCAGTCAGAAATCGAACCAGGACCTCCCATTTACCTAGTGAGCATTCTTCCGTTGAACAATCGATGCATACTAACCATAGTGAGATGTAAGGGTTAAAATGACAAACATTTCGCTAAAGAGGAAATCTAGTATTCAATAAGTGGCTTCAGCACTCGGTTTTCAGACGAAGGGTCACGAGTTCGAGTCCCACCGAACCTACTTCAGCTTGGGTAAGTGAGCTTAAGCCAACCATTCAATCTACGGGTTTGTAGAAGACTGATAAGAGCTGTGCATTGTTTTAAGTTCCTGATAAATGGCGTTTTGAATACCTTCTAGCTAATGTTCTGGTACTTTACCCTTTCTGAGAACTTTCTGAATGAAATGAACTCTGAAAACTGCGGCAACTTTAAATCCCTAAATTCATTGGGTAAAGTCCACTATATATTTCAACCAGTATGTCTAGACAGTAACAATCTGAAGACTGGTAGAATGCAGGGAGCTCTGAGCAGATAGTTCCTCCTTCTAGTTGAAGACATCAGTTCAGCTCACCTGTATGTTTAGAAGAGAACAGAAACCAGAAGTGTCAGATCTCACGGTGAAAGGTCTATTCCATCTGAACGACTAAATAGAGAAGCACTCTACTCCTTACCTAGATAGGGAGCTGGTGTATATTACTGAATCGCCTAAAACTAAGAGGAGGCTGCTTATAACGATGAGGCTGATTCATAATATGATTAACTATCAACCTGCAACAGCAGTTTGAACCATTTACCATAACAAATTGTTTTCATTGGCTCTTTCGTTTCTGTTTCAGATTCTATTGACACAGAACATTTAGAATCAAAAGCAAATGGACTCTGGTTAACTGAATCCGATTTACACTCCCTACCAAATCTTGTTGAAGCCATTAAAAAGTTCCATTCAAATGATGAATGTGGTTATGAAGCATGTCGTGCATCCAGACTGAGAGAACATTATCATTGTGGTGTGTGTAATAAGGTAAATTTAATCAAATTTGTATTGACATATACGATTTCATTCTAAACAACACTACTTGTCCTAATTCCTCATGGTTCAGCCTGAAGGTAGGTGGTATGCACCTGTGAGTAATACTCTGATGTTTAAGGTGATGTATACTTATCTGGTGTCTTGCTTGAGACACTTTTTACTCACTGGAACAAATGGAACACGAGTTCCTTCAAGATTGCAGGCAGATACATCTGCCTTACTGACTGGTGAGTGCCAGCGAGCACGACACTTGGGTCTAGCCAGGGCTTTCTGCCGATTGCCTCCAACTATCTTGCATTAGAACAGAGTTACATAAGGTGGTGGTGTGATACGGACAATAGGTCCCAACGGAATATTATTCTCACATATTCCTACAGTACATTCTACTTCATCAACCACTCAGGGACTGATTAAAGAATATAAACTGTATAGATGATATAAATATCTGTTTGATCACTTGAAAATATACCTTGGCTTCCGTGTCTTGCCTTCTGCTGTTACATTTGGTGTTGCTGCCTGCCGACAAATAAAAAGCCTATGCCCTGCAGTTTTTGAAGAAGGAGACATATGGATCTTCTTGCAGGACTTCGAGGCTGTTGTGCAGTTGAATGGTGTTCAAGATCCATCAGCGAAGAGGCTGTTACTTGGAACGCTACTGAGAAGTCAGGCGAAGGCAGAATATGATAGTGTGAGGTGAAACACCGGCGAATACGAACCAGGATCATGCAAACTTCTTCCAAAGTGGGAAGGACCATATACGATCACCGTGAGACGGGGTCACGTATATACGATCAGAAATGCAAACAAAGAGAAGCGGGTGAACGGCAGTGAGCTCTGGAACTCGATACAGTGAGAAAAGCTAACAAAGCCTCCAGCACCAAGAAGATCGAACCGACTTCAGTTGAAAGTATTTGACGAGGGGGGACGAATTCCCACAGTTAAATACTGCATTAGCCACAGAATACTATATTTATTTGAACATCCTACTTCATCCTACCTACTGACGAGGATATCAAAGCAAGGATCGGAAAAGCAAGACAAGCTTTCACTACTCTCAAGTCTGTGTGGAGGTCAACAACACTCAGCATCAAAAATAATATCCCGATTTTCAACTCAAGTGTGAAGTCAGTGCTACTATACGGATCAGAGACCTGGCGCGTCATAAAGAGCATCTCCAACAAATTGCAGACCTTCATTAACAGTTGTCTTCGCTCAATACTCAAGATCAGATGGCCGGCCAGAAAAGATCAGCAACAGAGATCTCTGGCAATGAGCGAACCAACCAGGAAACGGTTGTGGAACAAATATGCACATGCAAATGGAGATGGATTGGCCATACTCTGAGGAAACCATCAAGTGACATCACTAGACAAGCCATTGCTCGAGTGGAACCCGAAAGGGAAGCGGCGAGTTGGTCGTCAGTGCAAGGGTGACTTGGAGGAGGTCATGTGAAGAGGAGATGAAAACGTGTGGGCAGACATGGAGCCAGGTGAAGACTCTAGCAGAGAATCGAAAGCAATGGAGACGCACGGCTGAAGCCCTATGTTCCTGTAGGAATTAAAGGATACAATAATAATAATACTTCATATCATTTAATTTAAACCAAAATCACGCACTCAGGGATCGGTGAAAGATTATAAACTTGATAGCTGATATAAATGGCTGTTTGATCACTTGAAGAAAATATACCTCGGGCTTCCGTGTCTTGCCTTCTGCTGTTACACTAGGGGCTAAAAATATTCTGGAAGAAGGTCTGTTTATTATTTTTGCATTGTTCTACTAACCACGATCAGAACAAAAAACACGTGAAATTATAACTGAAGTTATTAAGAAGAAACGTAGGCAGGCGATTGTGCTGAAGGCTAAAGGTCTGTTTTGTTAGAAATATTTCTCACCTCAGCGATTTTTATGAGAAAAACGTATTTTCACGTATTTATTAAAACAAAAAAAAAAAAATAATTAATTTTTTTAAAATAGATTGTATTCCCGTGTTTTACTCATAAAATGTCTTTAGGGTCATTTAAATCATAAAATATATAAATTATTAGTTTTATAGACTAAATGTCTCTATTTAAAGCTTTTTAATTTACTATGCTCATTGAACTATGTCTTCACATCACATTTTTTAGATTTGAAAAGACTTGGAAAATAATCACAACAAATAAAATATCTAGTGAAGCAATTTATTAAATATATATATAAGCAGGTGAATGTCATACATATGCAGATATATACTCTCAGTTCTCGACAGATCATAGTTCGGAAAGAACATTTTTGTCGGCATAATCGCGGTGATGTATGGTAGAAATCAGAAGTCGGCTGATAATTAGCTAGTAGCTAGTAGCTTTAAGATGCTCCACTAAGTCTTATAAAAGCGGAGAAGACGTTCAACGAAGAGTTACTCTTTTCAGTGACATCGTTCTCAAGCTGCGTGTTGCAAATATTCATAGCAGCGAAAGGAATGTTTCCAAAGATGATATTCTTGATTGCGATGGACTGGATTATGCAACAGACTGCGTCTGAGGATTAAGAAGACAGGAATACGTTGGACTGATAAGGAGATTCTGGGAGATGTGGACTTCACGGATGATTTGTGTTTAATGTCACGTAAAGTCGATGATTTACAGGCGGAAACCAACAAGCTGGCAGAGGATGCAGTCGGCGAAGACAGGACCTCAAGTGAATATGGCGAAAACAGAGGTAATGAAGGTACCCACTGACCAGCAACAACAACAAGTGGCAACTATTATCAACGAGAGAAATTTGAAGGGAGTTGCTTCTTTCAGTTTTCTAGACAGTATTGTTTCAACCGTAGGAAGTCGGCACACATGAGTCTGTCAAAGCCAGAAGAGGAAGGATAGAGCAGATCTTCATTGACCCGAAATCACCTTAGAAATCCGCTACACTCGGAATAAAGAATAAAACTCGGTATGGTGTAGAGTCTCTACTTAACGTACACGCGATAGAAAGCATTTTGAACAGGTTACACACTTTCACCAACAGCTGGCTGCCCAGTTTGCTTAGTGCTGAGGACAATACAACCAACTAGGAACTTTGGCTGTCGACGAATCAATCAAGGATCTATTGCCCAACAGATATTCCGAAGACAATACTGAAGAAATCGTGGAGTGACATCACATGCCAAACCCTCGAGTAGAACTCAGATGGAAAATGACGAGCTGCGTGCCCCTTCAGGAGTGACATGGGGGATGGTCCTGTGTGGTGAAGGAAATTAAAGCTCATGGACAGTTGTGGAAGACTGCAGAGAACAAGATATTCTGTTGAAATCCGAAATTCTACTGGGAACCCAGGGGAATAATTATAATACACAAAACAGAAGGCGTTAGTCGGGTAGTAACCCAGATAAATTTGGTTTGTGTGTTTTCTTGGTGTCCAGAATCAACAGGGTGTTCCAGTGGGACGGGGGTATCGTTATTCTCCTTTACAAAACCATGATACGTTTGGATGCCAAAGATTCATTATGGCTAATTTACCTAGCTCCATGGGAGCAAGCTAACTGACAGATGTAAACTAATGAAACCAGCAGTGGTAACTTATTCTTCGCATTCATACAAATCATTGGTTTTTTAAAGGAAACAATTCGAAGTTAAACTGCTAAGAAGGCTTTTATTTTCAATGGACGGGAAAAACAATTTCTTAGTATTTATGTCGATGAGTCCCTACTGAATTGCAGAATCAGATAGAGGAGCACTTTACTTCAAACCTTATGAAGAAAACTAGAAATTTTTGAACCGCTGTTTTGTCATAAGATTTTAAACTCTGCGATTATTCGTACCTATCACCAAACTAATAAATAAAATCAGAACTTTCAAGTATTGGCTTTTGTACAGGTTTAGTTTGACTGGTTGGAAGATTTCATCATGAGCTGACATCAGTTAGAGAATCATTGGAAAACCTGGGAGTACTGGACAGCTGTTTCGTCCTAGTTTGGGACTCTTCAGCAATATGCACCAAATACCGGGGTTCGAACCTAGGACCTTCCGGTTACAAGGCCTTATGGTCTACGAGCTAGTTGGCCTTGTAACCAGAAGGTCCTAGGTTCGAACCTCGGTATCGGGTGCGTATTGCTGAAGAGTCCCAAACTAGGACGAAACAGCTGTCCAGTACTCCCAGGTTTTCCAATGGTTCTCTAACTGATGTCAGCTCATGATGAAATCCTCCAACCAATCAAAAAATCAGAACTGTTGGCTTACTAATTAAGTTTATAAACGTCAACTCTATCGTTACACAATATGGTACACTGTTGCTGTCTAAATGCGCATCTTGCATGCCACTGGTAGTCACCATCATTACCCACTGCCAGCCAATGTTCATCTAATGTTAAATTACTGAGATTTCTTCCGTTAAACTTCTATAGATGAAGTAATGACGGTTGGTATCAGTTATATCATGTCAAAACTAGCATTTGTAAGCAGAAAATTCCTTCTTGTATTAAGAAATTACTTCATCGAAAATCTCTTAATTTTCCCTTCCATCTTCCACATTTAGATTCTTTTACGACGTGAAGAAATGATACGACATGCTAAATGGCATAGAAAACGTGAAGAGAGTATGCAGTATGGATTTATGCGTTATAGTCCATGTGATGATTGTACAATTGCCGCTTGTCCGCATAATGGACGTCAAACGCATTATCATTGTATGCAAACAAACTGTGACAAGGTGAGAAAGTACTGTTATAATAATTTAAAATTTATCACAATAAACTGAAGTCTTGATTTGTGGTATTATTATTAGTTCACCCAAGTAGATGACCAGAAATCGAGGGGTTTTACCTGACTCGACTGCCTGAGCTAAGTCGAACCGGGTAAACTGATGATGAGTTCGATCCCGAACGATCAGGAAGGCCGTTTGGCGTCTAGATCACTACTTTTTCATTTTTTTAAAAGATATTTTATTATAGCTTAACTTCACACAATATTTTTGATACAAATATGGAATTTTCAGCATGTGATGTGGGTAGCCTAAATTTAGCAGGCCGACCATGGATATCGGGTGTGCGTCGGCCGGGGATCGATCCCTGGACCATGTTCATGGTCGGCGAACGTTCTAACCGCTGTACCACCAACGCAGTAGTTTCCAGCTTCTCTTCTCAGTCAATCAGTAGTATGTAATCTCAGAAAATAAAGTCATTTTGTCGATTTAAGTAAGTGTTTGAGCGAAATTAGAAGCTTATATCACAGAAGGTTTCTTTCATCAACCTCTAACTCTGTACATATTTGTGTTTAGATAAACATAGTGGGTGCGTTACCAATTCCAAGCTATCTGTTTATCAATCCGAATTCACTAAGCACTGATTTGTAACCAAGTAACTCTAATTGCAAAAATTCATGGCAGTTAGATTTGTTCCACTAACATCACTTCTGTGCGTCGGTGGCAAAGCGGTTAGGATGCTTGCCAAGCATGCACATGGTCTGGGGTTCGATCCTCAGCCGCCAAAGCACTCCTTTACCTCGCTAAGCCAGTAATAAAGTTGGTAAAGGGGACAGGTTGGGCATGAGGCTGGCGACCTCATCCTGTAAAAATAAACACTGTCACACAAACCTCAAGCCTCTAGCTTGAAGCCCTATGTTCCACTGGGAACGTGAAGGAATAAAGAAAAAATAACTCCAGCTACAGGTGGATATCAAGGCCAGAGTCAGAAGTCAGGACAGCCTTTCCTCTCTCTACTCCAAAATCACCATGGAGAACTGCAGTATTCAGCGCGAAAAACGATATCGCAGTTTGCAGCACTAATGTCAAGCCAGTCAGTGCTTCAAGATAGTCCAAAAACTTGGCCTTTTGATGAAAGAATTTCAAACAGGCTGAAGGTCGGATGGTTGGTCGGATAAGGAAGCAACAATGATGTCTAGTGGTGTGGTAGAACAGCAGGCAAGAATCTCTTACTCCAAAAAATATGCACAAGGAAGTGGAGGTAGATTATATATATACCCTGAGGAGAGCTTCACACTCCAGGCTCCAGGATGATAAAGGGATCAGTAAGCAACGAGTTACCTATTGGGTCCGAAGGTGAAATGGATTAGCTAATAAGAATAGGGAAATGACAGTTGTGGAGAACAGAGTGGAACGCAAGTGTGTTGCTGAAATCCTACATTTCACTCTGAAGGGAAGGAATGAATAACGCTGGTGGTTGATAACGTAGTTGAAATTCTCAAGCTCCTCAAGCATGCATAACAAGCATAGCCTTATGTGAATTAATCAAAGCTACTTATTTATATAGTCATAGTCTGTCTCTATCAGGCAAGTCTCCTCCACTGCTTTCATTAATTTGGAGTGTTTCTGAAAAAAGTGAAGGGGCAAATGCCAATGTTACGCCTAAAACAGGACTGATTAACGTGCAGATCTACCTAAAGAAGCTCAAAAACTGTGATTCCAAATCCATAGTGTAGATGGGCTGCAGAACAACCATAGTAACGTAACTAATGGCTCCGCTTCACTGCCTTAAAGCTCAAACTTCAAGTCAAAGGCTTGGGTTCGGCTCCACGGAACAGCTATTTGCTTCGGTCTGGGCGTCCTAGCAGTATCCCATCCCCCCACACACAATGTGATATTTTGCGTGGAGCATTTCTTGGTGCCCCAAATGTATCAAGTTTGTATTTCAAATAATCAATAATAATTTTTTTACAATTCTTCATCGGTTCAATGATCCTACCTCGATTTCCAACTGACTACCTGTGAATATTCCCCTACGTTGGTAACCGGCGGTAAGCCCCAAAAGGAAGGAGACAGAGAGAAAGAGAGAGTATGAGGTTAAAAACCCTACCCTTCAAAGACAAGAACTATCTCTACCGAAACTCTAAAGCCTGAAACCTTATGTTCTACTTACGAATAAAAAAGTGGAGGAAAGGGCACAATGGAGAACTAATGAGTCGACTGCATCCAGTACAGTATGGGAAGATACAACCAGTAAGTTCTCCATTTGGCTATTGCGAACTGCAGTGACTAAAAATGCTGTCAGCATTTGCTATCCAACAACATGATTCTGATTACTTCTTATAAGTGTACACGATTAATTGATACTGGTGTCATGGAATCTCTCAGTGTGTAAGGCACAGTTCCTATAATTCACATCCCCCCTCTACGGTCTTACAGTCCAGACTTTTCTAGTCGTTTACGTGTAGATATGACTACAAAGCAACCTCACTAAGAGGGCTTTTAGCTTTTAAATGCACAACTTTTAAATCTTAGGATGAAGATTTTCAGTAGTTCCCCGCTGTGGTGCCATTAAGGATTGAAATTAGCTGTTTCAGGTAAGGATATGAGCACGATATGATCTGGGCGCTTGGCTGAAATCTGATGACCTATGCACAAATTTATCACCACAAAGGTTACATCAATGTGCTTGTAATTTACATTATTTAGTAAACTGAATTACCTTGATTCCAATAAATACCTTCATACTTATTGACTCAGCGTTCTGTCGAATCAGAATAATACTTCTACCCGGACCAGTCTATATCGTTGAGAAAACAAGTAAAGCGGATTGATGTACAGATGAGTACACTCAATTAGCCTTGATCACTATCTTCTATTTTGCATTTCTTGAAGTTTTTCGAGTTCCCTGTTAATTGATTGTACAGAAAAGAGAAGTTGAATCTTTGTTGACATGTCGTGCCTTAGTTCACACGCTTCGATGATACCTTGAGGTGAACTTAGCGTCCACACCACCGCTCAAATCCATTGTTTCCACAAATATCAACCGTTATCAGATGGTTGGAGACAATCCACAGGAAGCCCCACCTGACCTATGTTTCGCATGTGTATGCACTCTTCAGCAAGGTGTGTGTGAGATTTGAGCCCAGGTCACCTAGTGCTGCCGTTCGGGCTCGCGATCGACCTCCAGTAGTTAGTTGTAGATGACGCCTTAACTTTTTGAATGCTGATTCTCAGCGAGAATACCATCTGCTATTGAAGACTCTGGAGGCATACACTGATGATGAGTCCTATATGGGACGAAACTCGTGTCCGGAATTCCACTGTTACCCACTACCAAACAAGTCACATTATCCCCTTTGGTTTAATAAAAATGCGCAATTTTTTTCACCAATAATTTTATTAGGCGTGTATATATATACCAGATAAGTTTGGTTCACTTTTCCCCTTACACACTATTCCCATCATCTTCATCATCAACTAACTCCGGACGGCAGAAGGTATCATTCTCCCACAAGTGTGCATATACGCTTAAATAGTGTGTGTGTGTAGCATGAAATTCCTCTACACTATTCGACCTTTCTACCAATCTTTCTCTTTTTTCTAACTTCATAGTTATCTGCAAACAAGCACAGTTTATTATGGAATTTCAGCATTTCGCTTTCCTACAGAATACTATTTTTGTGTGCTTTTTTCTCGTAGTGTTATTCTCATCACCGTTTCTTCTGTTTTTTTTTTCCTGTAAAAGAGAGTGGCAGTTGTCTTCAAACTTTTCATTTTCTTGTGCGTTTACGTTTATGCGTGTTAGTGTACACGTTTGTTTGTGTGTATATGTGTGTGTTACACGATGACGGTTGTGATGTCTGTGAACGCATTCATATTTGTCTGTCTGAAAAAATTCATTTGCTAAGGAACATGCATGCGTGAAAGGCATACGCATAGGTTTGGAGTGAAGGTGAACAAGAATACGAAATGGCACACAATGAAAGCATACATATGTGTGTCAATTTGTGCGGATTTATTTATTCTAGCCTAGTGGAATCCAGGATAACACGCATTTCGTCCTATTTAGGACTCGTCAGCTAATGGATGTACCTGCATTCCTCAGTCAGTTAGTGATGATGTTCCCACCGAGGCCTGTAGTTTCAAACGCCAAAGCGTCATCCACTAGACCATTTGGGCCACGAGAGCCACTGTCTCTTGTGCAATGGATCATATTAATTATTTAATTGAATTTTAGATTTTTCCGTCGATTGATTGGACTGAAGTGTTTGGTCTCAGGTTGACATGTCGGCTTCTTGTGTAGATGCTTCGACGATGTCTGCACAAGAAGCCGACATGTCAACTTGAGACCGAGCACTTCGGTCCAATCAATCGACGGGAAAATCTAGAATTCAATTAAATTATTAAACAGAACAGTTTGTTCGTTGTTCGTAGAATTACAAGGTAGAGCAGATGAATCCCTCCTCACGACAAATGTAAGATGATGTTGTAGAACTGGTATACAGCGACTCTTAGCTTAAAGATAGGGAGTGAAGTCATTGAGCGTTATGACCACTTCACTTATTTGGGAAGTTGCCCCAACCCTAATAAACCAATGATTGTTGACGAAATCTCAACACGAATACAAAGGAATTGTGTGAGATTTGCCAACTTACGTTATTTCTAGAGTAAACGTGACATATAGGTGGCCGTCAAAGAACGTGCACACTGCGCATCAGTTCGTTTTGGTAGTAGGACATAGCCAATAAAAATGGGAAATTCAAGTGTTGGTTTCTAGGGATTTGATTGATGGTTAAAGGATTTCATGATGAGCTGGGAGTACTGGATAGCTGTGACCAGTAGGTTGCAGCAGGTCGGGTGTGAGGACAAATACTCGCCGAAGACATTGGCTAGTGGTCACGCTATGTCATGAATTGGCAGAAGTTAGAATTCATTGACTGGCCATTGGATCGGGTTGCAGTGGCTTAATGGTCTACGAGCAAGCTCGCCTTGTAACCGGAAGGTCC